CCAAATTAAAGAATTCAGGGAGGAGATCTGGTGGTCAATCATGGATATATGAAATTTGAAGTTATCAAATTAAGATATTTAGTTGCTGGAATGATGCTCAGAGGAGAGTTCATACTAGGGCTAGAAATTTGTGAAGGATTTGATGACAGATGGGGGTGGTTGAATTTGAGAGTGGTGACATTGCCTAGAAAGAGTGGAAAGAGGAGAGAAGAAGCGTAGGACTTGGCCTTGAAAAACTTCAATATATAATGAGCAGAAGACTAGTTACGAAATGGGACATGAGATTCACAAAAGAAGAAAAAAGAAGAAGAAAATAAAAACTGGAGGAAATGAAGTCATAGAAGCCGAAGGAAGAGTACTTTTGAAAGGAATATGTAACCAGTAGTTTTTTTTTAAATTATAAATATATTTTGTTTTATTTAGCAGGAAGACCTTTAAGAATTGTTAAGTCAAATCTTTAGAATGTATTCAAGGAGAGTTTATAATGCATAGACACAACACTCAGATAAGCAGTGATGGAACCAATTTTGTTGCTCTACAATATAACCAATAGTTTTAAAAGCTAATGAAGAGCCAGTAGGCTCAATAGATACAAATGTGATTGGATTCAGTCACATTCATGAAGACCATTGCTGACCTTTGTAAGAACTAAATTGTGAACTAAGGGAGTTTTTAAAAAAAAGGTTAGAGAAGGTCAATGACTGAGAAGAGGTGAGAAAAAGAAAAGAGAAAGTGGGATATAGACCATCTTCTAAGAACTGTGACCATTTAAAGGGGAAGAAAGGAAGTATGGTAACTAGAGGGATTGATGAGAATGAGGATGGAAATAGAATAGAAAAGAACATAACAAATATTCAAGATGGCAACAACTTAAACCTATATAAATCTCAATGAAATACATAAAATTTGGAGGAAAATCTTAGCTTAAATTTGACATATTGAGAAATGTTTGAAAATAATAATGGAAGATCAGGAGTGGATGGAATCCAAACCATAGGGGCTGAGACAAATTTTAGGACTAATGCATCCTCCTGTGTAACAACAGGAAAAGGGATCTGACTGTCTTGGGACTCAATCTTGGGCACCTTACTATTTTCTACCTTCTCCTTTACTAGCTAATCTGATCTCTTTTTAACAAGAATGTATTTTGGGAGATAGTGGGAAGTATCTAGGGAGTATCTTGGGAGCAGTGGGAAGCAAGAATGTTGGCCTCCTCTTCTGCTGTAGGCAGTTTTGTGAGGCATGAGAGGAAGTGGCTACCATTTAGACAGATGCAGGGAAAAGCAGTTTTCCCAGGTTTTCACTAAGAGAAAGGGGATCTCAGAAAAGATGTGGAAAATGTAGGGGAGTTTAGTACATGTCCTGAGGGCACAATGGAAAAGCTTCAGTAGTCATAATGCCTAACAAATGGCTTCTTGATATTGGCAAGAAGATGATTTCATTCTAAGATTAGGTAGGTTCAAAAGAAATTTAGCAATGGTGGAGTTTACTGCAGATGATTATAAAATGAGAGGCCGACCTTTTTTTCCTAAGGATTATGGCTGGAAGAGAAATGGAAAAGATAAAATTCATTTTGGTTTTCTATAAACTAGATAATTACCTGTGAGATTGCATTCCCATTTTGTTCCTTAACATGCACTCTAGTCAGACTGATTTTCTGTGTATGATAGTTTCTAAAATTCTTTCTTTTAGAGTTAATGCATTTCCCACTCCAAAAAGTCCTTTAAGTCTGTTTTCTACCTGTGTGAACACAACTCTTCCAATAAGACTCATTAATATCTACCTCTCATCTTCGTTATTTTATATTTCTTTCACTGTCAAATAATGCATGCTTCTTGTAAAACCACTTGGAAAATATATGGAATTAAAGTTGAAAGTAAAATGACCCATATAATATCATCCATCAAAATGATCAATTGTGTATATTATTAACACTAATACCCATGAAATTAATATTATAAAACCTTTTCTATTTCTCTAAATATTCATAATAACAAATTCTAATGACTAAAGTTCTATGGCATAAACACATAATAATTAACCATTCTTCTAGAATTAGCTAGCTTAGTTAATTTACATTTTTTATTGTGAATGAAACATTATCCTTGACATAAATGCTTGTTTACATAATTAATAGCACCATTGGAGGCTTAAGAACTTTACATTACTAATTCAAAGGGTATGAATAATTTTTTAAAGTTCTAGATATACAGAAGTTGATTCTTTTCTAAAATGACTCCAGTATGTTATCTTTCTTTAACAGCATATGAATGTGTGTAAGGTCCCACCCTATTGTCAGCATAAAAGTTTTAAAAATTTTATGTTTAGGTTTTTGCCACAGGGCATATGCGCTCACTGGAGAGAGACAGACAAAGAGAGGGGGAAAGTGAGAAATCTCACCTCCCAGGGGATGACACATGGCAATTCTTTATTCTCTATTCTCCTCTGGGGAACTGGGGCATGTGCATACACATGCCTGACATGTTTCTAAGCCACCAAGTCTGGGACTTGAACCATGTAGTTGGTCAATTTAACCACTATACCACCTGCTGGCCTTTAAATTTTTCAATTTCCAGAGAAAGAGTATGCTTGCCAAAGAGAAAGAAAAAGAGAGAAAGCGACACCCCCCCCCATAGGACATGCTTATGTTGCAATCTTTTCCCTCCTCATATCTCTATCCAGACAGGATTTGGGTCATACCTGCATGTGCACCCAACATATTTTTTTAAGCCACCAGAGCTAGGGCTTATACTATGATTGATCATGTACGATCTTTTTTGTATTTTAGGTTTTTTTTTTTTTTAACTTACTTTTTTTTTCTATTTTTTTCATTTCCTTTTCTTCCAAATATTCAATCACATTATTATTTGTCTTACAAAATGGATATTTCAACAGGTGAACTTTTCTCCCTAGTACTGTTGATAAAACTACGAAATATCTTCAACAGATAATACCACACCTCTTTGTGCCATTAATGCTTTCCCTAGATCTGATTCCTTTTTTTTTTTGGTGGGGGAGAGGTTTTTGCTATAGGGCGTGTGCGCTTGCCAGACAGACAGAGAGAGACAGACAGACAGAAAGCAAGAAATCACCCCCCCCAGGAGGGATGGCCACGCCGCAATCCCTTCTCCTCCATTCTCCTCTCGGTATCTTGGGCACACACGCAAACGTGCCTGGCGTGAGTTTAAGCCACCAGGTCCGGGACTTGAACCTTGGTCGACTACGTGGGAGTCCAGAGACATAGCCATTACGCTAACTGCTGGTTTCAAGATCTGATTCCCTTAATCACTGTGCTATGGGGCCAGCCCAGCGAAGAGTATTTTTTTTTTAATTCCAATATTCCCTGTGGAAAAAAAATGCCTTCTCATTGGTGTTTTCATCTCTTTTTGTTTGATTACTAATTGAGTTGATTTTTTTTTCATACAGATATCAGTTATTGGATATTCTTTGTATTGTCTAGTTATGACATACCCACAAAACATAATACTTTATTAAATTATGAAAATTTTGGTAGATTAGTTTAATTATAAAAGTTGTTTAGATGCTAATTATATTGCTTTGTACTATATTTGTTGCTATGTTCAACCTGTGGCTTTCTGTAACTATAGTGAACTATATTGCATCTACCATATATGTTCACTGAATTCTCTATTATCTGAAGTTTGATATGGTCTCATTCTTACTCTACAATCTTAGTATTTCATTCTCTGTTGTCTTACATTATTCATTAACAGTTTAATCTTTTATTGTCAGAGAGACAGTAACTTAAGAATTAGAGCAAGAAATATGTTTATTACCTTCCTAGATTTATAATTAGTATTGTGTTATTTGACTTCTGATTTATTCCTGATTTTTTCTGTTTTTCTATGCAAAATTGCATCATGACTTTTCCAGTGATCCAATATATTTGCCAAAAACATATAGCAAATTAACTCATTTGCATTGATTACCATAACATTCTGGGACAAGAAGTGTACATTTATTTAAAAAGCTAGAGAGTAGATTATTTTTCTCAATACCTTTATGCTTACAGTGAAAAACTTAAAAATAAAAAACTCTAATGTATATTAAATTTTTTATCACAAGTGTTTGGATTGTATATTAAAGAAATACTCTCTTTTGAGTATGTTACTTGAATCATAGTTAAGTGAAAGGTGGTGTGAACCATGTGATAAATGATTATTTTTCACGTCGAACAACCCAACTTTTCTGAGCGTGCCGACTTTGCAAGGATTTATAGTTCCCTGTCTTCATGCTGGAGTTACTTCAGCTTTCTGTGATACATTCCAACTAATCTGGAGGTTAAGGCATTCCTTGATCATGGATAGATCTGATTGTTTCTCGGCCCTGGAATTCTTTATAAAATTCCAGAATGTGGGCTAGAAATTGACTTAGAGAATCCAATAAAGTTGCAAGTCTTGGCAGTCATCCAAGGTAAATTTATAGACTGGAAGAAATACGGGCTTTCCATTGTTCTCTTTTCACCTTTTTGGGGTTTCTTTTGTGTCTATGTGAGTGTGTGAGTGTAAATTTATCATTTAGCTGACACTGGAGTGGAAATAGCCATCGAAGAGACCCAGCTAAAGAATTTTCACTTTGGATCTTCCCTGGTTTCTTTGAACTTTAACCCCAAACTGCACCAAGAGTGAATTTCTCATCCCTTTGTAGGATGTTGATGTCATAAACTAAGAGATTGTTCTTGAAAATGAATCATGCTAGTATAACAGCTGACACACGTGTTTGCTAGCAAGGTATAACTCTCAAATCCTTGCTCTTCCTCTGGCTCTGTGGAAGTCTTCTTTTTGAGACATGATCTAAAAGGATGTGATCATATATTCTGTTTCTGTTCAGTCTATGATATGGTAATGGGGCTAGAAAACAAGCTCAGAAGAATCTAAGAGACTTCGGTCTTTGTGTGTCTGATGTTCTGTAAAGCAAGCAAGGAGATGCAAGCAATGCCCCTATATCTGACCACTGAAAATCTGTCTTATTCTTAACAGAATGGATTTGCTGTTGTGAGGCCCCCAGGCCATCACGCTGAAGAATCCACAGCCATGTAAGTACCAGGGACTGTTGCCCATCTCCAAGCGCCACGGTTCCTGGCGGTCACCTGCCCCGTGCATGTTTCTGAAGCCTCTAATTGTTAGCAGATGGACTGAAAAATCTTGCGAGGTACTCCCAGAAGCAGATTTATGGCTTCAGAGATCATATAGCATTTTAAAAAATGCTCTGAACATTATTTATAATGGTTTTCCTGGATGATTTGCTTTCTTATTTCTCTGTTCTTCTCTATTCCACAGGGGGTTCTGCTTTTTTAATTCAGTTGCAATTACCGCCAAATACTTGAGAGACCAACTAAATATAAGCAAGATATTGATTGTAGATCTGGTATGTATTCCTGGCCAGAGCTGCATTTCCAGTGACTCTAGATAAAAGGGAGTGGATTTGTGTTCCTCTGTTAGGTTGTCTTGCTTTTAGCACTTGCAAACAACTGAAGGGTGTGTTTCCTTTGAATGTGGAAACTCATTAAATTCAGGATTGCAGTTCTGAAACCATAAACATTCACGTTTCACTTTCATGGTGTTAACTGCAATTTAATGAGAAGAAGGCGCAGATCAGGGCAACTTTTATGATCCTTAAATGAATTGATACTTCCACAGTTAAAATAACCCAACAGAACCTGAATTTACTTTTCCCTACAGAACATAGACTTTAAATAGTCAGATGTGCTGGAAAGAATGCTGTTGCTTTGGTAACCAATTGGCCACTTCCCCTGGTTAGCAATCATATTGCTTGTTGTGCAACAGTGGTATTATTAAAACAAGTCAGCATGTCATTCTTTCTGGAAAAAAAAAAAAAATCTCAGATCTCAGATGCCACTTTGGGATGACTCCCTACAGGAATCCTGAGTTATCAAACGTTAGAGGCATTAGATTAGTTTTGCACTTTAACATGATGCGTTCCTATACATAAAGTTATAATTTCTTTAACAAATGGTTTGTTTAAATGCAGATGACACTTGGCATGTTGTCTATAGGATATTCATGAATAATGAGCTGGAGAGCTGCCCCATACGTAAAGGACCAACCCAGGAAAGGGCGCAAAAGAGTTGAATGGTGATTTATGAGCCCCGTTTTCGGTTTGCCTCCAGTTCACGAGGAGGTGTAATAGGTTGTCTGACAAAGCATAGACAGGAAATGAACCCTGGCATCCAAACCGAACCTGCTACATCTGCACTTAATTAATTTTTGCAGGTGATAAAAGATTTAAAGGCAAAATATGTTAAAGGTTTTTTTGAAGTGCAAGGCTTAATAGTCTAAATCTTGTTCATATCTGCACTCATAATTAAAGCTTATTGGGAGTCGTGGCCTCACCCTGCAGGCCCTCGACTCAGTTAAGCAGGCACACCAAAGGGTTGAGAGAGCACAAACAAAGCCATGTGAAGAAATACTTAGTTACATTAAAATGAAGATAAAAGGAATGGAAGACTGATAACCATTTTTAGTGCTTACTTGGAATGAATGTTTCTCACGTATTATATTGTATCCTTCCTGCAAACACTTGGTGTAAGAACAACTTTCCATGTATTTTTCAAACATACTTGAGTTTCAGTGTAGGTCATAGTTCACTATTAAAGAAATGTGTTGAAGGCCTAGATATACTACAAGCAGCGAGGTCTTAAAATTTTATAAAAATGGGCACATCAGTACCAATTTTCCCATGTACATCCCAAATGGCTATTAATTCGTTAACAGTTACTTTTGCATGATTTATAAAATAGTAAACTTTTTAAAAATGTGGTATGATACTAGTTTTGTAAGTTCTGTGCTAAAAAGAGAAGTCAAATATTTGAAGAAAGGATAGCAGATGAAAACCAAAGGTTGTGGAGGAAAAAAATGACAAACTTTCTAAATTTGTCAAAGTTTTGTAAAAAGGTGATTGATCAGCTCTTCATCCTACCTTAAAAATCTCATAGTAATTATTTTCTGAGGAATCTCCTCTGCTACCATTTTATGTGTCTATGAAGCTAATCAATAACTGCTAAGAGTCTCCTTTGAAAGCACTTTTGTGATTTCAAAACTCAAAGGTAATGAATTGTACAATAGACTTGAAAGCTAAAATGCCTCATTTATGGCAGATGAATACTTTGTACTTCAGAGGATTTATATGTAAAGTTTTGTTCCTGTACATTAAGAATAAAAGGCTGTTCGAGATGAATTAATATGATTTATAAAATAAGCTATTTGGTAGCTCCTAGGAGTTTCCTGTAAGCCCACTGGCCTTTGGTTATGCATTTGCTCCATTATCCAATCATAAAGGATACTGATTTCCCAAAAGGCTGGAGTAAACGAGAAGTTTTTGTTTCAAAGTCCCTAAATATATGAAGTTTTGTCCAAAGGGTTGCCTCTGAGATCACCACCAGCCCACATAGTCTTACTTTCAAGTCTTCCAAATTCTGCAGCTGCGGGGCTACTTTGAGGAAATTCCTGTTTCTTCCAGCTGCTGAGAAGGAAGTTTTAAAGTGCCACGTGGCGCTGAGACATCCGTTCTCCCTGGCTGACAGGTCTGTTCTGCAAGTTAGCAAAGGAGAAGAGGTGAAGGTTCTTCGGTGGCAAAGGAGCTTTATTCCTGCGTATCCAAAGTCATTAATGTTAACTGGAAGGTGTGAACTGGCTGGCAAACTCTAGACCCAACAGAAGGCAAAGCTACTGCATTGTCCAGCAGCTAGTTTTAGCATTTTAATATGCCTAGTAAATGTAGTCAGAGTTCTAATTCACCTCCTATTTTGGGTCACAGCCAAAGTCAGAGGCGTTGGTATCTCAGGTAGGGATGAATCTACTTTATCTGTGGGGTACGTTCATTCCATTTTTTTGGTCTGAATTAGAGTCTGCACACATTCAGATTGGTGTGGAGAGGGAGCAGGTGTACTTGCTTTACTACTTGCAGGAGACTGTTTTTTTTTTCTATTCAGGACATTAAGCTGTTCTAGAAGCAGGATTTGCCTGTGTGACTCAGGTAGCCTTTAGGTAATACAACTTTTAGTTAAAAAAAAATATATCTTTTTAGGCTTTCCTAATGAAAGAAAACTTATTTCAAATGCCTTTAGATTTGAGGAAATTCTGATTTTTATCAAGTGCATTTAAACCTTTATCATAAGTCCCTTTATTAAATAATGGTAATAACATTAGCTGGTAGAATAGTTGTCTTTAAAGCTATTTTAACATAGAAAAGAAAGTTCTAATTCCTTGTAGAGAATCAATTTTTCCTTTATACTTTTTTTTTTTTGAGAGGCTTTTTTTGCTATAGGGTGTGTGTGCTCGCCAGACAGACAGAGAGAGACAGAGAGACAGAAAGCAAGAAATCACCCCCGGGGGAATGGCCATACCGCAATCCCTTCTCCTCCATTCTCCTCTCGGGATCTTAGGCATGCACACGCACCCGGTGTGAGTTTAAGCCACCGGGTCCAGGACTCGAACCGTGGTCGACTATATGGGAGTCCAGCGACATAGTCATTATGCTAACTGCTGGTCCCCCTTTATACTTTTTACCTAGTAAAATATTGAAATGATTTTTCAACATTTCCCAGCACATTGTAGTTCTGTGTGAGGGCTTTTACTGATTCAGTTCATTTCATTTTTACAGTAATTTCTCAGAATCACCAATAATTTTTTGTTGAAATTTTTGTTCTAGTAAATATTTGTTGCTATGAAGAAACAAGGCTCAGATCATACCTGAGCAAACATTAGTTTGAATATTTTGCAGCAAAGAAAACAGAAAAAAAGAAAAAGTCTCAAGGTTGTACTGTAAATTTTTACCCAAAACAAAACATATACTTGGATTTAATACTTATCTCTACTATTAGGGGAATATGAATACAGAATCAAGGATTGCTCAAGTATTAAAATGGATTTGAGTATTTTAATGAATGCTAGTTCAAATCTTATTATGCTATGAATGACTATATTTCTTATTCAGAAATATATGCACTAATAACACACTTTTCTAGAACAAATGATTTTATATCTGTGACAAATGATCATCTTTTATTTGACCTTTTTAAGTAAACCTTATGGTGCCCCTTGAGGAACAAAGGTAATCAAGACAATATTTTTGTGCTTTTCAAATTCTGGACGAATTCATGCCCAGAGCAAAATTTGTCTTACAACTCTGACTGAAATTGCTCTTGCACAGAAGAAATGCAAACATCCCTTCAGTGTTGTTTCTCGAGGTTTTGTCTGACCATTCTCTAGATATCCAGTAGCAAACACAAAAGACTTTCTGGCTTAAATTGTTCTATTTTTTTCTACATAAAGGAAAGTAATTTTGCTATCCTTACCTTTCTTTCCTTTGACTATTTAGAAGTTTAGAAATTATTATATTTTCTTTTATTATTATTTATTATTATTTCTATTTCTTTTATATATTCAGTCACGTTACTTAGCTTGCAAAGTGAAAATTCCAACATGTGTACATTTTGCACAGGTCTAGTTGACAATACTGTAAGGTTATCCTTCAAGAGATAATAACCCTTTTCTTGGTCCCATAAAAGCCTTGCCTCTATTTTTCTCTTTAATGTCCTTCCTCAGACTCTACTCCTTCACCCTCCTTCTTCCCACACTATAAGAAATTATTATATTTTCAATAAGAGTTTTTTATTTTTATTTTTCCCGGATGTGCTTGTCTTTACTTGGAACAAGTTTCTGGATTAATGTATATATGTCCCAACATTATAATTCCTGGACTGATTTTGGATATGGGTACTCAAAAAGGAGGAGAGGATTATCGTCTACACCACGAATAGCAAGCTCATGAAGATTTTCAAAATTTATCAAAAGGAGTCTTTGGTACTCTCTACTGAAGGAATTCTAGGCTGGAGGTTGGAGGGGAAACAAATGATATAAACCTTAATGACCAATAACTTGACCTCACAGTTGTCCTAAGAGATCAAGAGATAATAGCAGGTGGTGTGGTGGTTAAAGCACTGGACACGCCCACATGACTGATCACGGTTCAAGTCCTGGACCTGGCAGCTTACTTTGTCACTCTCTTTCTCTCTGTCTCTCTCTGATCAATTTAAAATAAATGAGTGAATAATTAAAATAAAATAATTCTTATAAAAAGAGATAATGAATATAAGTATAAGTTAACAGTATAACAGTTGTGAAGTTGGCTTTGGATTTCTAAGTAGATTCAAGACTAAGTGTTGCAACTTGTTCTCTAATCGTTTTTTTGGTTGTTGTTACAGAGATCTTTTTGCTATAGGGTACATGCACTCGCCAGAGAGTGATAGACAAGCAGAAAGACAGAAAGAGAGAAATCACCCCCTAGCCACACCACAATCCCATCTCCATTCTCCACTTGAGATTTTGGGCACGCATGCACATGTGCCTGGCACTCTCTGTAATTTTACTAAATTACTGAAACTCTTTGAGCCTCAGTTTATTTACCTATTAAACTAGGGATAATACCACATATCCTATATAATTATTAAATGATCTGTGCAAGATACTTAATATAGCGCCTGACTTAACACTGGAGGAGTTGTTTTTCAAAGTAGTGTCATTCTTCCTGATGTAAAATAAAGTACAATATATAGTTACAAGTTACCCAAACTCTTAGATAACAGAACTGTATATGATATATATAAATCAAAGAAGTAGCAATAATATTCTGATGAATACAAATAGATATATTATTAACTTTTAAGAGGGACCCATTTTGGTTTTGTTTGGAAGATATTAGTTGAAACCTGAGGCCTTTCAGAGAAGACATTTGAAAAAAAAAATGCTATTGGTTTTAGTTCTATTGCTTATGTCTATTCCAGTGTATGTCTATAACACAAAGCAGTAAGAAAAACAGAAGTGTCAAGTGTTGAATTATCATAAACGAATATTCTAAGAATTGTTCATTCATTTTAATAACAGAGGCTTTTGTTTGTTTGTTATACTTCGTTTTGTTTTGAGTAGGAAGAGGGAGTGGTGTGAGAGAAGGAAAAAAATAGATCAGGAAGGAGGCTGAGAAAATACCCATGATACGATATTAAAATCAGGCAGGTTGGACAAGATTGCATAAAGCCCTATGCCATCTTTCTGTTTGGGCTCAAATGATTTAAGAGCTAATGAGCTCATGCTCCTGTGTCTTCGACTCTGGCTGTCACAATTATACCAAAATGAAATATGAAGTCCTTTTTGCATCTGGCATCTCTTTTGAAGTGATTCTAACTGCTGAGGGATTGCTAACTGAACTCAATGCTCCAAGAAAGCCAATTTATTCAGCTGGTTGCAAAGCCTTTGACCTTAATGGTGGGACTTGGCAAATCAGTGCGTACACGTATGTTTAGTGTTCTGTCAAGAATTGCGAAAATGCTCTGTAAGCCATAGATCCTTTTGCAAAATACTATTTTGTAGTTTAAACATTAGTCTTTTTTCAGAGGCCAATGAGGCTAGTTAATTAAGCCTGAGGGGTTATGAACTGTTGGCAGTTAATAAGTCATAAAATTCCTCCATAAAACAGGATGCGAGATTCCATCACTGAAGCAAAAAGTACAAAGAGCTGGTGTATAAATATCTAATTGTACCAAAGGACTGGGCTTTCTCAATGACTGCTCATCTGGAGTCTCCAGGGCATGCTCGCTGTGGTTTCCTGATTTTTAGAAGCCAGTTTAAAAAATGAGTGCATTAAAGGGTAATTTGCCTGAAAGTTCAGGAAGTAAAGGGGGCGGTGTGGAAGCAGGCTGAATGAGAGAGGGAGAGAGAGAGAGAGAAAAAAAAAGAGGGACATGGTGAGAAGACAGAAAATGAGAAGGAGGGTGGAGTAGAAAGAGCACTAGAAATCAGAAAGGTTGTCTCCGCACAGAGTCAGACGTGACTGTATCTGTCATCTGTTTTCTTTTCCCCGTAGGACGTTCACCATGGAAACGGTACACAGCAGGCTTTTTATGCCGACCCCAGCATCCTGTACATTTCACTCCATCGCTATGATGAAGGGAACTTTTTCCCTGGCAGTGGAGCCCCAAATGAGGTTGGGTTTATTTCTTTAGAGCCTCACTTTTATTTGTATCTTTCAGGTAATTGCATTGCATGATTACCCCTAATTTTCTTGTCCTTTGCTGGTGTTTTAAATTACACGAGATTACCGAATCATCCCAGGGGACCAGAAACCAGTGCAGGACAAGTGCATAACCCAGAGAACTGGTTGTCAAGCGAGGTTGGGCTGATTCCACACGTTGTTTGATGTTTATTTCAATAGCTCGCATGTGTTTGTTTTCCTCTCTTCTTGTTTTTTTCCCTTTGCCCTCTTCCCTTCTCACTGTGGTGTGTGTTTGTCTTTCCAGGTTGGAACAGGTCTTGGGGAAGGATACAATATAAATATTGCCTGGACAGGTGGCCTTGATCCCCCCATGGGAGATGTTGAGTACCTTGAAGCATTCAGGTTGGTACTTCTTTCTCTTGAAAAAGTGGCAATTCATTGAAACAACAAGTTTGAAAGAGAAATGTAAATATCTAACTAAGGTAGAGTATTGCTTCAAAGCAACATAGGAGCACTTCAAAAGTTCATTTTTTGGTACAAAATTTTGAAATATATGCTTAGTTTTTCATAAAAGCACTTTCTATGAAGTTTTTTTTTTTTTAAGACTCCTTCTATGTGTAAGAAAAAAAGGCATATTAAGAGCTAGTTAGAGCCGGTGGCCTATATATGCTTCCCCTTGTTCCTCACTGTCCCCCATCTCCACAAAAGAAAGAAGGAAGGGAAGAATTTATTATTGAACAGTTCTACCTGGGAAATTCTGCCTATTAGAATGTATGAGATGAATTACTGATAGATATAGCCACTCCTCTCTTACTGACCTGTTTGCTGGGACTACAGCCATTTCTCTAGAAGGAATCCACTTTCAGACTTTGTCTCCTTCTCCCACTTCAGAGAGATATTGTGTTGTGGTGTGTCTTGTCAGTTTCTGGTTCATATCTAATGTATGCAACACCAATTACAGAATTACATTATTCTAGTGTGAAACAGCATGATATTTACTGAAAAATCCATAGCAGGTGTCGTGGTGGTAGAGGTACTGGATACCCACATGAAGGTCTGCAGTTCAAGTCCTTGACCTGGTAACTTGAAGGTCAGACCAGATAAATGTGTGCAGTCCCTAAATCACAGGAGGAGAATGGAGGAGAAGGGATTGCAGTGTGGCCATACGCCCCCCCACCCCAAGGAGGGGTGTCATTTCTCACTTTCCCTCTCTATTTCTCTCTCCAGTGAGTACGCGCACCCTATGACAAAAAAAAACTAAAAAAGAAAAAGAAAAGAAAAATCCATACTTTATGGCACCATGACCCTTAAGGCACTGTCTTTAACTCCTCGTTTATCGACCACTTTGCTAAACAACGTAGTCACAGGAACAGAATGGAACTTAGTCTTTAAGTGAGCAGTGCTTGTATAAGCATATTAAATGCTCTGAAATGTTTCTCATTCCTATTTAACTTTGCTGAATAGGCATTTCCTGAAAGTCTTTGGACCACAGAACACCTTTTTACATAGCACCATTCAGCATTTCTAGCCATGAGGTGCTAGCTCGCTTAGGAAATGTGGCCTAGACTATTTCATCTGATGGGAGAGTTGATGATTTTTGCATATTTTTCTTCTCATGTTAAAACATTAATGAATTAACTGGCTATTTTCAGTTTCTCTGTGAGCTATAGGAAGAAATGGATGTATTCACACTGCATTCTGCTGATTCTTCTCCTAATCAAATAACTTTAAAAATGAATTTAAATAAGAAACACAAGAAAACCAAAGTTTTCTTTTTGAAGATGAAATTTTCAAATAGGACATATCTTATCTGGAATTAAAATGTGTTTAGTCTTTGAAAAGGCCTCTTTTTATCAGATTGTATCAGTACGTGCCTTACTTGCAAGATTTTAGGATTCTTTAGCCTACTGGTAATACCTAATTTCTCGAATGGTTTATTTAGTTGAAAGCAAAAGCAAATAACTCCACAAGAAGAAAATTTAAAAGTATTCAGAGTTTTGAAATTTACCATTTATTAATCTGCAAGAAGAAAACCCTGTTAATAATATATTTGAATATAAGAAAAATTTTTATTAAATAAAATTTTGGTGTGTTTCTGATATCTTGAATATCATGTATACTTCATTCTCTTGTTAGAAAGCCATTTTTTTCGGGACCAGCAGTTGGTGTAATGGCTGTGTCGCTGGACTCCTAAGTAGTTGACCGCAGTTTGAGTCCCGGACCCAGTGGCTTAAACTCACACTGGACACGTGTGCGTACGTGTCCAAGATCCCGAGAGGAGAGTGAAGGAGAAGAGATCGTGGCGTGGTCATCCCCTCCTGGGGGGGGGCGTGATTTCTCGTTTTCTATCTCTCTTTCTGTCTCTTTCTGTTGAGCGCACATGCCCTATAGCAAAAACCTCTTTAAAAGAAGTCATTTTTTTAAATTATAAAATAGATCCAGGGGGACCAGCAGTTAGTGTAGTGGGCTATGTCACTGGACTCCCATGTAGTCAACCTCAGTTTGATCACGGTTCAAGTCCCGGACCCGGTGGCTTAAACTCACTCTGGGCACGTGTGCATGCGTGCCCAAGATCTGGAGAGGAGAATGGAGGAGAAGGGATGTGGTGTGGCCATCTCCTCTGGGGGATGATTTCTTGCTTTCTGTTTCTCTTTGTCTTTCTGGTGAGCACACATACCCTATAGCAAAAACCTCTCCAAAAAAAAAATAGGTCCAGGAAAAAATGATAGAAACATTGCTGTTTAAAATAAATACATTTGGCTTAGTAGTCTAGCTACTAAGAAAAATTCTACCCACATTTCAGATGTGTACTTTGGGAAAAAATATACGCAGAGCTATGTATAATATTTATAGAAAAAAATGGAATAAATTTATTACTACAAACTTGGGGTATCAATGAAGATATTTTGCTATTTAACACTTATGCCTAGAATTGCTTGTGAATTTGCTACAGATGAGTCAAGGATGTAAGTCACTGATTCAACAAACATTTGTTGAACACATATTGATATGCCAGGCACTATGGTGAGAATTTGGAATTCAGAGATTTATTTGCTCTCAGCAGGTCGTAACAGAGGTGATATTAAATCGTCCTGGAAAACAACAATGGTTAGAGAGGATAAAACATTGAACTCTGCCTGAAGGGTTTCAAGAAAGTCATCATCATTGTTTAACTTGTGTTTTCAAGAATGAGTGGGACATTTCCAAAGGAAACAGGAATTAGAATAGGGGGATTTATATGAGGGAGGCAGAGAGAAGAGACTATAAAAAGCGTGGTGTCATGTAATGATCTTTGTAAGTTTGGGCTTTAGTCAGATGGACACCCAGATTTAAAACAAATTTTGTATCGTGATTTCTGGTTTATACATAGTCACTGTACAGCTTTGTGGAGGGTAGCGTATAGTTTCTCACAGCGTGCATACAGTGTGTAATATATGTGAACCTAGAAATGGAAAGTTTTTGGTGATAACGTGTATGATTAAGCTACTAGGCAGCACATTCTGGATGGGAAATGATATCTTGTATGCTGTGACAATGCTCAGTGAATGAATGTAAATGAATGAAAAACAATAATCAGTGCAAGGATATACACATATTCGTCTTATTCGACATTGAACATGACATTGTGTTGTACACATTATTTTATAAGCCTATCCTTAATACACTCCTTGTTTCCCACTGCTCTTTCTGGCATGCGTGTGTGGGTGCAGGAAATGAGGTGGTGGAAAAAGTAAATGATGCCTTTTCTTTTCTGTTCGTTTTTAATAGCTTCTGGACTATGCTAAGTATCTTTCGAGTAAAAGCTTCTCTCGCTGTGAAGCTACATTTAGAGTGGGATGTAAGATGGCTGCTGATTTTACCAGATAAAATTTGTCATCTATTCCCTTCGTGGTTTCTATTATGTGCTCTCCCTATGGCAAGAAGAAAATTGTAGGCAAGCTAAACATTTTCATATTTGTTAAAAGCATGAACGATAATTTTAAAAGTAAAATATCTAAGACATTTGAGGTGACTAATCATTCCTTTCATGCAGCTATCATTGATCCCTGAAATAACTGAAGTTATACTTTAAATTTTCATCAGTTTTCTAAATATTTAAATATCAAATATCTTTTATATATAAGTAATAGGTTTCCAAGGTGACCATTTTATAAAATAATTATGGCTATTTTTATTAAGGTCTTATGTGACAGGTCTTAGATTAAAAATGTTACAATCATTATGTTTAATTTTTAAGTGCTTTGTATAAATCATGAAACTACTCATTGGAAGGGCAATGAGGTGAATTCAGTTTATGGCTCTGAAATCCATGCCACATTGCTACTGTCTTCTACTAATATATAACTTAAAATGATAAAGAGTGATGGAGCCAGCAAGTGGCATGATGGCTAAAGTGCTGTATTCCCACATGGCCAACCACAGTTCAAGTCCTGGACTCGGTGGCTTAAGAATCACACCAGGCGCATGTGCATGTGTGCCCGAAAGGAGAACAGAGGAGGTTTTGTGATGTGACCATCCACCTTGGGAGATGATATCTCACTTTTTCTCTATCAGTCTCTCTCCAGCAAATGCACATGTCCTGTGGTAAAAAGCTAAGGAAAAAAAAAAGTTCAGGAGTGATAGAGGACAGTGAACTTTTACCAAAACGTGAGCCCTTTGTGCTCCAACTGCCTCCTGACCTAACTCACAAATGCCTAGTACAGAGCATGGCAAATAGAGGCTAGTCAGTAATACTGATTGAGTAAATCAATCAATGAATAAATAAATCAGAGAGATGGATGATGCTGACTATAATAGGAGTGCTGGAAAGTTCTGATGTTAACTGAGGGAGCTAAATGCTATCTCTTTGCCCCTCGAGGAGTATGCTTCACAAAGACCTCTAAACATACATTGATTTGGTCAAAGAATGTCAGACATCTAATTTTGTTCAACAAATATTTTACTGAATATCTGCTAAGCAATCTATTCTGGTAGTTTCAAAAGATTGTCCAGGGGCCAGCAGGTGGCATGATAGTTAAGGTGTTGGACTCCCACATGGCCAGCCATAATTGGAGTCCCAGACCTGGAGGCTTGCTTTCTCACTTTCTCTCTCTGTTTTTCTGTCTCTGGTGAGAACGTGTGCCCTATAACAAAGTAAAAATAATAATAATAATAAATTAAATTAATAATTAAAAAAAAAAAGATTGTCCAATGTTGTTATATTCTTCATGGTCCCTATGAGCCCTGGGCATCTTAGCTTTTCTACAGACTACTTTGTTTTCCTAGACAGAGGAGTAGAGAAAAGTCTTTTTTTTTTTTTTGACAGGATGTCACCACATTGTGATCATCTCACCACAGCTGCCCAGTTAACTAGGACTGTAAGCATGCGCCAGTGTGCCTTGCCTGTTCAGGTTGAGCTGGAA